CTCTGAAAGTGTATTACCTGACATTTCATCATACAATCTGTCAGAAAACAAAGAAGAAAGAGTCACTAAGCTTTAGCAACAACATTCAGAACATTATGGCTATTTAAAAAACAGTCAATGTTCCCACTGTAAATACCTCAAAGTAAATTTTTACACTACCCAATGTGTAAATATTTACAATGGAAAGAAACTCAACTTTTCTTCATTCTCAATCATGACAAAAAACATTTGTCTCATTCGCCTCCTCAGCTGAATCAAATCTTTTTGATAGTAGTATAACATGGCTACAAAAATGTACTTTGGGAAAAGATTTAGGTAAACAACTAAAGAGGATTACTTTTCAGGAAATACACTAGAGGTTTCCAACACTTTTTGTTTTCACTTGCAGTCTCTCCAAACAGGCTAAACTCCCAAGCAATAGGAAGCAAATAGCTTGTGTAGTATACTAAAACAGTGGTTCTGTGCTGGAGGGGGAGAAAATTAACAATATTTCAGTAAACTTTCTGTTCAGTATATTACTACATTGAGCCATTGTCAGTTTTATTCCAAGTTTGTGTCGAAAGGTGTATCTTATCAAAGTAAATGCCAGAGAGGCAGTTCTCATTCAAAAAAGACAAATTAATGTCCAATTTCAATTAACTGTGAAGTAGGAATCAGGATTTACAGTAGGTGTGAGAATCTCGTGCCTGCGGTGTTAAAATACTCTCAGCAGTCACACCCCAAATGTCTTTGGGTTTTGTTTGTTCAAATTACCATGTAAGAGCTTAATGCTTTAGGACAACTGTCAGTGTGTCTGTTCTGGAAGGTGAAATGTGGGACTGGTGAGCTCTAACCAGGGCAGCTGCACTTGGTTTGAGTGCTGTGAGGAGCAAAGCAAATCTCAAATGTCTGCCCTGCATCCTGCGCCCTGCTCTCTGCAGAGCTGCCAGCCCTGAGTGGAGAACTGAAGCAGCATTTATAGGATGTGTCTTTTTTCAGACCCCAGGAGCCCTGAAGTGCTCGAGCTGATGCTCCACAGGCCTGCCCCAGCCTTGGAAACCATCCAGCAGCCCCAGTGGAGAGATCAGGAGAGATTAATTTCATCTGCTGCTGGAGTCAAGTACGCTGCTGCAGGGCAGCGCTTTTTGACCTCACCCTGGTAGGATTAGAGTGCTCCTGGTACCAGAGTTATTTCAACACAGAGAAAAGCTCCACTGCAGGTTTCAGAGCAGGCTGGCTGCTCTTGGCCTTCCTGTGGGTTTGTGGCTATCAGTTTATCAGCTCATTTGTAGCACTGAGGGCTCCTGGCAGGCACTGCCAGCAGCAGGGCACAAGGGACAGCCAGTCTGGGGCAGTGCCACCAGCCCACAGTGCCACTCAGGCATGGGGACCCACCCAGGGATGAGACTTCCAAAGGATGTGCTGGAAACTCAGCTGGGCCTGACCAAGGAATCATCCTGAATGAGAAGGATGAGAAGGAATTATCCAAATGAGAGTGGAAGGCTCCAAGCAGTGTAATATGTTGGTTATTTCCAGCATCCAGGAGTATGTTATCCCTCAGATAGAAACTAAAACCCATAAGAGGGGAAAGTTTTTTGGTAAAATCACCACAAACCAGAAAGGGTCCCTGTATCTTCAAAAGCAAAGCTATTTTCAGCCCAGCAAAGAGAAGGATTTTGAATTCTCAGCTATAAATATTCAAAATATTCCACGAAGCACCTTGAGAACCCCTTGGACATGGCCAAAAGCCCAGGCCTTACAGCTATTCTTGTTTCTGTGACATTGACATCAGGTGTTTTTCTACAATTTTGCATAGAAACCTTTGCCTTGTCCTCCACAGCTTATGACCTGTGTAAGGTTTCTGAGAAACAATGCCACAGACAACAGTTTTCCCTGTAGCTTTCCTCCATTTTTATGCTTTATGGTTTGAATGTACTGAAGTAGACTTAAAAGGCAATTATTTCTTTCAATGTCTTACAAGTTTTATACCAGATCTATGATTCCATTACAGACATTTCTGCTCCTCTCAGTGCCAGTTACTTGCAGATGACAGTGTGTCCATCTGAATTCCTGCTGATAGTTACTTAACAATGTAAAGCAACTTAATCAAACAACTATCCTTATAATCAAACCCACAGTAATCTCTGTATTTAGCTCTTTTTTCTTTTTTTTTTGTTTGTTTGGGGTTTTTTTTTGTTTGTTTGTTTTTTTGGTTTTTTTCATAATAGAACAGCAAAAGACCAGGACTTCTCAGACAGTAAGAAGAATCAAGAACAGAAAATAAGATCAAATATCTTCGTTTTACCAACAATTTTTAGGCTCAGGGACCAGCAAGTCTGCGGAAAAGTCAATACACAGACTTGTGGGCACCATTATATAATTTCCTGTTGCTTTTCCAAGAATCCCATGATCATTTAATGTGGCACTTGCAGGAAATATATAAAAAGGAGTATTGAAGACAGAACTGCAGCAGTGTGATGACATCAATACAAATGCAAATATACACCATCCAGAGATTATTCCAAGAATGTTATTAAAAATAATCAGCTCTGTGAATTCTGGGAGCCCAGGATGGGTGTGCCAGAGTACCTCTTTGGGAGGCCACTGCCAGCAGAGTACAGAAGGCACAATCAATAAATGAGGCCATTCTTTTGAAGAAATGCTACGTTTGATACATTACCAATACCTGAGGAACCACCCAGATCCTAGGAGGGAAAAGCAATTCTGAAATGAGTAAAAAAATCACCTGAGGTTCCCAGAGGCCTGGGGAGACACCCATCTGTTCAGATGCAGCCAGCACAAAATATTCACCAAACATTCAGTTTTCCTTTGTGCCAATTATTCCATGGAGGAACAGCCCAGAGGCCTGACACCTTCAGAGTTTTCCTTGCATTTGGGCATTGAGGAATGGCACCAGCATCTCACCCCAGCCCCAGGCAGGGGGGTCTAGGAGCCCTTTGTACCAGCCTGGCACTGCAGAAATGCCCAGGACAGCAAAGCAAGAGGGAGGACCAATATTTGCTGCAGTACAGAGCAGCAGAAAGCAGAGTGGGAAATCCAGGCTGTTTTCATCGGGGTTTAATCTACCCCTGTGCTAGCCCAGCTCAAACTGTGTTAGTGTCAGCTGCTACTCTGAGATTTATTTAAAAGGAGTTTTAATGGCTCCTTCAAACAGTATCCTTTGTTTGGAAGAGGAAAGCACAGAATACTGATATTATGCCCAAATACACTTAAGACTCTAAAAGGGCTATGGGCAGTAGATTTATTAGAATCAACTATTAGCAACTTATTTTCAGTCTATGTCAAGCACTCAGTGGAGGGGAAGAGATCCCCCACCAAGTATTCAATTAGTAACAATGATCTCACAATATATTCCTTCTGCCTGGGACACTCATTACTCATAAAATACTCTGAATACTGGCCGAAAACACTGCTACCAAGTGTGAAATAAGGCAGAGAGAATAGGAAATAATAACAATAAAAAGAAGGACTTCTGAAAGTTATAAACCAATAAAAAGGAGTCTGAACATTATGAGGTAGAAAGCAGGAGGTGTTAGAGAAATGCCCACCTAGGAAAGGCCTCAGGCTTCTTTTCATGGCACCTATCCCAAAGAACTTGGAAATCCATAGGTTTTCTTTAGTATGCAGTAACTACATACTAATATATCACAGGATGGATCAGGTACTGCAGTGCCCACCTTAGTGATTCTCAGAGGAAGGTGAGAAATTTGTGAAGGACAATTATAGGACAAAGAGAACGGTATCAAAACCTCTGCACACGAGGAAGAATAGTCCTTTCAGAGTTTTACAATCCACCTGCAAATATACTCTAAACTCTGACTAGCTCCTCTGACAGCCAGAGGTGTCTGCAGGATGCACATGTCCAAGAATTCCCCACGGGCCCTAATCTCAGCTGCTTTCCAAGGAGCTCATTCTGCAAGCCTTAGAACAAATGTGCACCGACATCACACTGCCCTGGCATTTCCCTTCAGCTCTCCCTGCAGTCTGCCACAGTGTGTATCATCTCAAATAAAGTAAATAATGCTGTTCCTCTGATACCTGATGACTTCCACCTGATAACTGGAGAGGGCTCTGGCCATCAGGACTGGAAATGTATTTTCCTTTTGTCTCTGTCAGTGTTACACACCCCAATTTGTTTTTTCTGTCAAAGGCAGTCAGGGACTCAAGATGGCAATAGAGAGCTGGAAAACTCATATTCCAGCAAAGAGCTATAAATATCCCTTTTGTTGCTTAATGTGTTGTTAAACCACTTGCTAGAGAGGCCTTTAGTGTTAATCTGCCCATCAGTCTCTCAAAAATTCCCATCTAAAATTATCAACAAGTAGTTTGGTCAGTAGAGAATGTTTATTTGCAGTTGCACAACTCTCAGTTTGCAGAATATTATCTGCTTAAAACATAAGCAGACAGCCACAGTCTAGGAAAGCCAGGACTGTGAAAATTAATTCATAACCTTATTTTGCAGTAAATTTAGTGTCAGAAGATTTATCAACATGTAGCATACTTTGGATATATCATATGCCTTATGGACAAATATGGTAATTTATTTTTTTTTCAATGGCTATCAGTAAAACGTATGATTTTAGAAAGCAAGTGTGTATTTTTGCAAAGAAGAGGTTTCTAGTTCCCTGTGTGTGGAACCTCCCTGCAATACAACCTGGATGCAGGGTTTCTGGCTTGGCTTTGAGAATGCTGTGCAGAACTGCTCTGTGCTCCCTGCCAGCTGCTGCCTTCCATCCCAGAGGTGGCAGCATGGAAATGATGAATGAACTAATTCATACAGTCTGCAGCTGAGTGTCAGAGATATACCTAATATACATTACACATGTCTGCATATAAGGACACAAACTAAATTTGGGTTACCAGCACTGAAAAGCCAAGGAATTGTACAATTATCACTTACCAATATTTCCCATGTTAAATACATCCAAAAAAAAGGTAACATTTTCTACAAGATTATCCTTAATCAGTCTTTATTCCTTGAAGATCTTGTAACAGTTTACCTCTTTCAGCCTAAGTGACTCTGTGTGCTGTGTGAGGGGCTGGGCCAGAGCTGATAAGGGTTTATCCCTTCACTTCTGTGGACTTCACATCAAGCCTACTGCCCCTGCTGGGAAACAAAAATAAATATTTTTTTTTTAAATAGAAAAGGCTAATTTATGCCTAAGCTGCTGTTTCTGATCAGAGTAAATGTTGAAAGCTTTAAAGCTTTAAAGCTGATTACAAATTGAAATATCTGTGTCCCCAAATGCTTGCCTAACTTCAAACAATTGGCTGCTGAGCAGGAGCGGCAGGGACAGGTGTGCTGAGAACTGACACCTATTTCAAGATCAGAAGAGGGCACTAGGGCTTAAGTTATATTCAGCATAATCCCAGACAAAGAGAGAGGGGGGGAAAAAACCAGTGAAAAGTGTCAGAATGTTTCTTTTGTTATTCTACTGCTTCTCTCTCATAAAGTGAGAATACAGGCGGGGCTGGAGGCCCATGGGACCAGGATCTGTGGCAGCTCCAGCACAGCTCAAGGGGCAATTTCTGTCTCAAACATTTACAGCAGAGCTGCCAAGCTGTGGGACCCCACTCCCCACCCCACCCTGCTCGGGTCAGTCTCTGCCTGTTGTTCCTCTGCTGTGCAGGCAGCAGAGGCAAAGCCACCAGGGTGGCAGCTGCTCACAGGGACAGAGAGCTGCTCATCCACCCTGCTGAGCACCAGGGAGGGTCAGGGGATGCCCCTCACACAGCACATTTTACACTGCAGCTGAACAGTGATAAAAAAGGCACACACGCCCCAACAAAAAGCCCCTTTGTGTCTTGTTCTCCTCAGAGCCATGAAATAAAATAATTGCATTATGATTGTTACTAGCTGTTAAAGCTGATGTGGTGTTTTGAAGCAGCACAAGATGAATTTTCATTACACAGGACCGTGCCCCAGATTGTGCATGTCCTGTGCTAAGGGGGTGCATTCAGGCTGGTGTGGGAGCCACACAACACCATGCAGTTCTTATCAGCCAGCTCAGCTGCTTTATCTCCCTCTGCTGCCATTGCAGGGAGCATTACCTGGACAAAGAGAACCCAAGGTTTATCTGAAACACCTTCTGAGTGAATATTTTTCTCCCCTTTGGCTCAAAGAGGTTTTAAGAAGAATTGCACGACACAGTAGTTAAAATGGACATGTGAATATCCACTATGTATCAATAAATCCATGTAAATTTGAGTTGCAAGACATACAGACAGCTGTACTAGTTGGAGCCAAATTATCTTGTGTGATAAAAGACAAACACAGAAGACAGTAATAGGAGGGTAATCAACACTTCCCCAGGTGCCCTCTCCCAAGTCCCAGCAATTTCTGGCTCAGGGACTTCAAGTCAGATGTTGCCTTTTTTAAACATCCCTGGGTAGATTTTTCATGTATGGATTCCTCCAGCTTCCTTTAGAGATGCAATAAAGACCCAGAAGGAAATGTAATGAATTAATTTTCCTGACGTTGGTTGTCACCAGAAAGAGCAGCCCCAGGATTCATCCTTACCCCACACAGAAGTCAGCCCATGCAAGGCTGCTGAGGAACAGCCTGTTGGCTACCATGGCTTAGAGACACAAGTTTTGTGTCTCTTCCTTAGTGCTGAACATAAAACACATCTGAACATCCCTCCTGAAAGTCCATATCCACCTAAACCACCCTAATGGAAACATTTGGCTTTAAGCTTCCAGGACTTGCAGAAATCAGAGGACACAAAGCCCTTTCAGGGAAGGGAAAAAAAAAAACAAAAACCTTTAAAAATAAGAACCTTGAACACAATCACTGTTTAAAAATACATTTACCTCTTATTAAAATGGAAAAGTCAAGTACAGCATCAGCATTGGGACTGTAGAATTTGCAAAAGCAGGAGGACAGAGATGGATGTGTAGCAGCCTTCAGAGCACAGACAACAGCTGCCCTAAAACCAGTGTAGGGCCACTGCATTTTATCCTTCCTACTGGCCTTAACTGTAGCATATATTGAAATATTGAAGGATTAATTTACCAGGAAATTTGCATCCTTAAGACTTTTTCTGCCAATTCTGTAAAAGAATTATTGGATTCTATGCACCAAAGTACCTGAGTAATGTACATGAGTTTTCAATACAGCTTGTACTATTGTTAGCTTGCAATATATGTACATGTAAACAATGTAAACAAAATATTTAAGAGGCATCTCACAGTGAGCAACAAATTATGCATCAAGTATTTATTATCTAGTGTATATTCCACTGTAGGCTGGAGGGGAAAAAAATTGGCTTATGCATAGAAAAAAAGATATTCTGAATCCACTGAGAATAATTCAAATTGCATTTTATAAGAAGAAATTATGGGTACAAGAGACCATCTGTCTTTGGTTTTTTAAATGGTGCCTTTCAAAATGCAAGATCCCTAGCCTATTTTCTATTTAAAAAATAATAATTGTGTTGTACTAAAAATTGAGTGGGGAAAAGCTGAACTCCTCATGCTTCTTCTAAGATAGACAGGAACAGAAGGGGACTGGCACATTTGTGTGCAAATCAGGAGCAACTTTATCAAAGAAATTATTAATTTCGGTAGAATGCAGAAAAAAAAAATAAAAATCAGAGAACAAAACATTTGTATTTCTGAAGCAGCCTATGTTACAGCACCTCCCCACAGCCTGACCCTGCCAAAGCTCATCAGTGTGTTTCCCAATGTGTTTGAGGGTAGCAGGTCTCTGTAACTAAAGTCAGGTCTTCTAAGATGACTTGATATTGCTCTGGCCTCTCCCTTTGACCAAGACTTTTAAATCTTATTCTTCAGCTTTGAGATCACCTTGCCCACTCTGACAAGTGTCTCTCCTGTTCCAGTGAGGAGTGCTAAAGCTTCTCTTCCCAAACCTTAGAAAAAGATACATGGCTGTAGCACAAATATCAGCATGAGAGAAATCCACACGGACCTGAGAGGAAAGGGATGGAAAGCCTGAATTACAGGGAGGAAAAGCTGCTGTATGTGCTGTGCAAGGGGCTTTCCCAGGAGACCTGGGCAGCCTCTGCTCTTCAGCTAGTGTAAACGTGTGTGGATGCTGGATATTAATTACAAATCAACAACAGAACATGCAGAATTTCTAAAATATAAATTTGGTTCACAAGGAAGTCCTTGTTAGAATTTTTCTTACCTCCTTGTAATTGAATTGTGACACCACTGAGATTTCCTTAACTGCTGTCCCAGGTTGGCTATCACTTCTCTCCAAAACAATCTAATTTTGGCTGTCTTTGCTTTTCAAACTCAAACAGCTGAGAGAAGAACCGAAAAATTCAGAGAATTATCGGAGAAACACAAACACTGTTGCCTTTCATCTAGTCCATCCCATGCTTACAGCACACTTGCCATATTTATCTGAGGACCAAAATAAGAGCCCATATCTAGCCAGATTGTCCTTGATGTCAGTGCTCTCACCTCAGAACTAGTCAGGTCACATGAACACATCACTGAAATAAATTGCCTTACTGGAGAATTGGTTCTTCACATGCAGAGTCACAGTCATGACAGCAGAGTCTGATTGCATGGATTAAAGGTTTGGTCTCCCACAGAGATCTAAAAAGGCAGCAACACCCACCAGAAATTTACTACAGTTATGATTCAGGATCTTGCCACCAACGTCTTGGAATGTCTGGATATTTTAGCAGAGACATTCCAGGGGGCATACACTGTCAGAAATATCCAAAGGATTTCCACTAGCTAAGAAAAAGGAAGAAAATACTTAAGGAGGGTATATTCCTGACTGCAGTCAAAATCACACTTGTGTAATTCTTAACATTTCGAAATTGGTCTCCCTACTCCACCAGTGTAAGGCTGGCCAGGAGAGAAGGATTCTTGATGGTACTTTAGGAGAAATGGAAGTTGAACTTGAAATGAAGCAGCTAATTTATGGCTAATGGCTGCTAATGATGGCAGCAAAATTGTGTGTTTATTGCAAACATTTAAAACTTCGAGGGCAGACATTCACAAAGGTGAGAGTCAATAGTGCCTTCATAAAGCTGGAAAGTAAAGACTTAAATGAGTATTAATGTTATGTTTAAAAGGGAAAAAACCAAAGTTATACTAATGCAGATGTAGAATAAGAAACACAGCAATTGAAAAAAAAAATAATTAGGATAAAAAGTGTGGCAGTTTAGTGGGATTGATTTGCTCTTTGAAAGTCAATAATAAAAAATCACTGCTTTGAAAAGGAAGGACAGGTTCACTGAAAGGCAAATGTTCACTGAAAGGCAAATACTCATTACTTTTATTTTAAAAAGCATAAAAAATAATGAGGAAAAGTCAAAAGCTAGGGGTGTATTTTGGGGGAATATGTCTTACCCTAGACATTAAATGGGAATAAAGACCACATGCTTTCAAATTAGGACTTTTAGAGACATGAGATACATACTATATATCTCTTGGAAAAGGGACAGTGATTTTATAGATCTTCCCTTAAATTTAGATCTTTGGTATTTTCAAGTATTGAATATACCATTAGGAAAGGTTAAGAGCAATGTGCCAGCTTTACTAATATCATCCATTTCTATCTGATCAAGCCAGTAACAGATTGGACACAGATTGATCAGGATAAATTTGTATGGAGTTCAGCCCTCCCTGGAAGAAAGCACTACATGAAGTTAAACATGGTTTCATGGTATTGAGAAAAAATTATGAAAACAGAACAGAACAGCAGAGAAATGCCTTGAGGCAATATTTGTAAATGAAGGAAGTGATAGAGATGGTGCAGGAATTGCCCTAACACATAGCACAGAATCTTTTGGGCACACTGCTCCCACTTCTGGATTGATTGCTGGACATGGACCCATCATTATTGCCCAGGAAATCATCCCAGCCCTTACTAATGTCAGCAAAGGAGACACGAGGACATGACATGCTCCTTCGGGTATGAGTCTCCTCTCAGAGCACAGTGGGGGTTTGGACTGAGGTTTAATTCAGCCAGCTTGCACACAGCTCTCCCTAATAACCATCCAAATGGCCAGAGCATCCCAGGACGGTGCCTCTTTAATTATAAAAGATGCTTTTCTAAAGACAAAAGAGCTACCACCACCCACCCATTCCAAAATCCAAAACAGACTAGAATCTTGGAGAATTTACAACAAAATAAAACCATAACTCATATTTAACAGATCAGTGCTCTGTCTTTTCAAGCTTTGTGTAGCAGCACATCATTCACTTCACCTTAATTTCACTATTCTATTATCGTTTGCACCACTGTAATTGTCTCTCTGAAAACAGATCCCAAAAAGATTCAGAAAAGCATCTCTCTACCCAGTGTACTGTGCTTACTGATGTGAGTGGTTGAATAATTTAAATGAGAGCTATCAAGATGTTCTACAGCCAATTTGTAATCTTCTGTTTTCATGGTAGAGAAGGCAAACATTTTCATGAAAGAAGGCAAACTTATTTGACTGTATGGATTTTTAACTTGGGGGATGACAACTTTCCTTTTTGAAATGAAGAAAAATGCAGACCTCCAAAAAAAAAATAAATAAAAGAAGAACAGAAAAACCCTCACAGCTTCTGCTTCTCTGTGGAAGATATTGAGAACTATACTTTACACTGCAGTCACAAGTGTGCAGACCTGTTCCTCAGGCACAGCATACACAAAACAGTATTTGAGGTGATTGAATGGAAGAGTGCACAGGCTCACTCAATATGCTTCTTCCTTTAACCACAGAATTTACTGCTTGTAGCAACAGCTAAGAGAAAAATTTAAATTGTGGTTTTCACTGAAGTGCACCACTAACCAGCAACTCTGCCATAACAAAAACTGATTACAAAAAGTCATAAAGCATTGCAGCATAACAATATACATAATTAAGAAATTAAAAAGTAATTAGGAAATCTCACCAAGACCTTGGTGGAATTAAGATAAACCTTTACAAACTGAGGAGCCAGCACTGAGACTGGAACAGTTTTCAGTGTGTAGGGCTGGGTTTTGTAAGGCAATGCTCATCCATAACTCAGGAAATATTTTTGGTGAGCCTCATGGGGCAGAGACAGCTCCTTCCACCCTCAGGCCACAGCTCTCAAGTTTCACATGCTAGTCACAATAACCATAAAGGACACTGTTTAAAAAATAAACTAAAATAATAATAATAAAAAAAGCAGCTCTATTTTCCCACCTCATATATTCCTGCAGTAACTCCCACAGTTCTGAAGGCATGGAAGAAATGGTAGTTTCCTACAGGAGAAACCTGATGTGCTAAAATAATATAACACAGACAATAACAGATAATAAGTTACTCCTTAACTAAACATTAACATTTCCCTGCAGCCCCACGGGAGGCTGGCAGCACCAGTGCAAGTTACACATCAGAACTTGGATAAAATCACCATGTGTTGGTCCCTAGAAGGAAAAGTCACCTTTTGAGAAAGGCAACAGTTCTTGCTTTACTGTGGTGGGTCTTTTTGATGCTGGTGAACAGAACATGAAAAATACTCCAGCAAGGCAAATCTGCTGAAGGTGCAAACCACTGCCAGACTAAACTGGAATTATCTGCGTGGCACTTGGGTTGATGTTTGTAACCAGATACTGTGGAAACACAAGTGAACTTGACCTTGCCCTTATCTTTGGACTTGCAAAACGATCTCTGCTGGAAACTTCCTCACATTTCCTTTCATGTGCCAGATCAAGACTGAGACCAATCAGATAAAGCAGCGTGCCTTGAAGGCTGCACTCGCAGCTGTCCAGACAGTTAACCTTAGCCACGGAAGAAAAAAAATAATCAAACAATCTGTTTTCTTTGCAGCCCTACAACTGCTGCATCACATGATGTGACACTAATTTCCCCACAGTGTATGCTTTGAAGCTGACAAGTGTTAAGCTGTGATTAAAAATTCCAGATGGATGCAAGTACCTGTCACTCAGACGGGTCCCTCTGTTGCACTGGTGACCACAGGAACAAGCAGGAATTCACCAGCCCATTTATGTAGGAGGAAGGTGCTGCAGAGACTTTAATTAGAGGGTGCATCAGTTAACTTCCTCAGCAGATACAGACTTGACTCACAATCAGCCTAAATGAAAAGCAGATAGTTTTTATATTATATTTAGGGTCAAGGATTATATGGTAGAAAAATAAAACCAACCAAAGCCAAACTGAACAAATCCCCCTAAAATCACCACTGGAAATTTTGCACACTCCTCCCAGAACTCACAGGTCTATTTTGGTCAGTTTTATTACCTGGTTCAGGAAAATAGCTGTTTTATCAGCTAGTTTTCATTCTCCATGAAAAACCTCTACCAAAACACACTAATTATAATAAACAAACAAGAAGTGTAATTGGATAGGTTCAGTACCTGCAGGGGAATTGTGCCTTTTGAAGTAACCTCATGTCAGACAAAAATGACAGCTCCTTCTAGACAGTAGTTCTTTCATAACTATGCTACAGCTAATTGTAAATGCTTTGAATATTCACTTACAATTAAATAAATATCTTGTGTCTTGTTAGCAGGACACAAGATTGAGATATTTTAGCTTCTTTGATGAATCACTCATTCCAAAACCTTTTTAGAGTAATGAATGCTTTTTAAGTAAAACTGTAGAGGTTATTAAAGTGTACTAAACAGACATTCTAAACATTAAATACCGAGTGAACACACCAAGTAGGAACACTACAGATGATTTAAATCAAGAACCAAAAGCTAGAAAGTGAATAGAAAAATTCAAAACATTTTCAATAATAGTTACTGCAAATACTCAAAACAGTTGTTTAGTCTAGATTAAATCCTTATTTGGGACATATTAGACCAAAAATGCCTTCTGATGTTAGTGTGCTGGCTTTCTTTCATGGAGGAACAGGAGGAATGTGGGAGAGGAACAATGACATTTTCCTCTCAAACACTCACTTGCATGAGTAATTTTACCACATGAAGACTCCTGTTGAGTTTACCAGGACTATTTGTGTAAGGAGTTCCTCATGGGCAAGATTATTCACAGGTCCTAGGCCATTAGAGGCTATTAACTCTGCTCCATGGTAATAACATTATTTACATGTTTATTCTCAATGAACAGTCCCAGTCATTAAGAGGAAGTAAGGAAAATATTTCACTGGACAATATATTTCTCAAAAGTACAGTTATTTAAATTGTAGGTTGTCAAAGCATTATCAAGAAAGGAGTTGATGAAAAGCAAATCAGAAGTATGAAAGTCACTTCCTTTTGTTTTCAAACTTTTTTTTCCCCTGAAAATTGACCCAAAAGGAGGCAGAAAAGTCCCTGACACAGGAAACATCTATAAATTGTGAACACCCCTCCAATTATGCTGCAGAAGCTTCAAGTGCAAAACAGTTCCTTTTCCCTTTCCAATACCAAAAATGTTACAAAACAGATTCCTTTCCCTTGTTTTGATGTACAGAATTCCACATGGACTTTGATGAAAACAGGAGCTAAATAGTATAGCATTTTACTCTTACATTTGTAGAAAAAAGTGCTTTCCACTGTCATAGCTATTTTCTTTTGTCATTATAAATACCCACAGTAATGGGGGCACAGGTTTCTCTACAGAGGATCTCTGGGTAGTGAGTGTGCTGGTGAATTCCAGGGTGCTTCCACAGCAGTGGAGGAAAAAAAAACTCCTTGTAATCACACAGACCTCTGGGCCATTAAGAGATTTTCTTTTCCCCACGCCTTTTTTGTTAAATTGGGAGAAGTCAATGATGGCATTGAATGCCTCCTTGGATTCCAGTATCCCTGTGCAATCACTACAGCTGTTTCCAAAACAGGAGGAGGACCTGTTTTGGAAACCTGGACCTCCAGCAGAGAGGACAGGATGGACTCAGAGTTATCCACCTCCTGTAACTTCTCTTGCCTTTGTCCATCTTGTTTTTTTGCCACTGAAAGTGGTAACTGTCCCACCCAAGAGCAATGGGCTCCAACATACAGAGTTATACCCATTAAGGACCACGCACGACAAGAAATTAATATCTTGTTAGAAACATGACACTGATACAAGGGCATTATAATCACTGAAAGATTTAAGGGGACATGATTATAGTAATTTATCTCCTGATGTGATTACAGTAATTTGTGTCTATTAAAATTAACCCACATTTTAAATCTCTTGCCGTGTTAACTTTTTTAAGGAAATGATATGCTTCAATTTAATGATGTGAAATTCACCCCAAGCACGCTACTTATTTCTTTTCAATTTTGTTGCACAGCTATAACACAACCACAAAACAAAAAGTACCAGATACAGAAAGATTAAGTTACCTCAATGGCATCAGAATGAAATTGTTGGTATTTATGGCAGTTTTAGTGATTTTTTTTTTTCTTTTGAAGGCTCTTCTGCACAAGTGACGTAACTGTTCTCTTCCCTGGACATCACCTGTCATAAACATTGCACTCAAGGGACAAATCAATATACCTTCAGTCCATATCAACATTTCCCTAGTCAGATTTTGCTTGTATGCCATTCAGATACATTTCCAAACTACAAGGGAGAGAGGATTTCTGATGAATAAACATATGGAGCAATTAAAATGAATGCCCATGGTGAAATCTTTCCAGGATAACAACAGATAAGCAAGAACAGATAAGCAATGCTCACACTTTGTGTGTTCAGAGGAATTTCAAATGAAGAATCACCCCAGCATCAGGTGGCAGATGTGCTGTTGCAGTTTTACAGCTGAGGAAGGCAAGTGGCAGCAACAGAGGCATTTGGAAGGAGGATGAAATGGTTACAGGGATAAAATAAGAGTAAGCACAGCTTTTCAGATGCTAAAATGAAGCTCTCAGGAAGCTTCTTTTCCTTCTCTCTCCTGGTGACATGAGGGGTGTCCAAGCTGCCACGTGTCTATGCTAAAAATCTGGGAAAACAGTGTTGACCAACTCTTCAGTCCACTTTTACACACTGGCTAGGGTTCAGCTGTTAATGCCATCCAAGCACTTTCTCCTGGACTTGAATTCTGGTTCCTACCTTTGGAGAAGGACATGTGAGCAGTGGCAAGCACTTGGGTTGGATGATGAAGATAATAAAGGAAAATAACTAACAAACCCCAGAAGTAAGATGGAAAGGTCACAGACGAAACAGTGCCAAAGTAAAGTGAATTTGGCAGAGAAGAAGGACATGTGAGCAGTGGCAAGCACTTGGGTTGGATGATGAAGGTAATGAAGGAAAATAACTAACAAACCCCAGAAGTGAGTAAGATGGAAAGGTCACAGACGAATTCAGTAAAGTGAGTTTGGCAGAGGAGAAAAGAGAGGGGTAGAAAAACAGCACCAAATTCAAATGATTCTGTGTTAGCACAACCTAGAGCACTGCCTTCCTGCCCAGCTCTCACAATCCAATGCTACTGATCTTCCCTAACTTCTAGCAGATTTCAGGCAGAGGAGAATCAGGTTCCAAGAAAACAAATGAAGTGCCAGAACTGTGATACCTATTTCTTTCTCCTTTCCCTCTTAAGTCTTCCTGGGCAGGCCTTAATTCCACCAATTCCCCATCAATCAACATTTTAATGCTCTGCATTTCCAGTAGCAAGCCAGAGCTAGCAGCACTTTTCCTTGTATCCTAAACTGGCATAGTTTCAAAACGTTGTGCCATAATTTCACAAAGCAGGCTGGGGACACACTAAATTTGTATTTACTGTTGGCAGCAGTTTATACCAATGAGGCACTGTGTCAGGATGCTAAAATAGTTTTTAAAAATCCAGGAAAATGTTGTGTACAGCACACCTTTCCAGTAACAGGTTTCAAGCAACCCATGTGTAGCCCTGTTACACCTCTGTCTCATAAGAGCCAAACAACTTTGTTATAGGCTGATTGAACATCAAGAATGTCTGTACTTTTAATTTATATCTAAATCAAAAGGAGTATTTGATTCCAGATAAAGCATTTAAATAAATGTACATAACTACTAAAGCAAATTACAGAAATTATGTGAGAACATGTAAGAAGGAAAGGCTGAGGGTTAGTCTATATAAAAATTCATGACAAATTGGCTGTTCTTTTAATTTTAAAAACACAGTTTTTCATTTGTCAATTTGATAAAATACATGTTTAAGAAACTTCACTCCAACCAGATATTGGTTTTTATAGCTCACTTTGCACAGTTCACACAAAAGATGTATGTGGTTGATATCATTATTTTTGGACACTTTCAAGGATTTCCTAAAATGCTTTAATAAATTGTTAAAAAATCAGGTTAGCCCCATTAGAAAAAAGAGCAGATAACCCAGTATTGATGAATTCCCAGGTGTTGGTTCAACACCCAACACCTCCAGCTTTCTTTGAAAAGAACGTCCATGTTATTTTCTGTGTTCCCAGCTGCCCAGCTTCCCCTAATTCATCTTAGAATTTTGTGCTACTCTGTTTACATTATGTATGAAGGTAATACTTCCTCCAAATAAGAAAATTTGATTTCTTATGATGTATAAAGTAACAAGAAGAAAGTGGACCTAAACTAATAGCAGAGGATTTAATCACAGAAATCAAGCAAATATTATGGAACATATTTTACAAACAGGTAAATTGAACTGAATTGAGCAAGGTGATGGAATGAAGTAACAGCACACTTGGAAATCAAAGCAAAAAATGCTATTTCATTATTTATTTGAACTCAGGCCACTGGATATGAGCTGCACACGTGTGACACTCTACACTTCATGCAGATGTTTCTGACAAAGAGAGAGGCTTGTTGCTGTCCTGACTTCATGTGTTGGCAGCTGACATTAAACAAAGTCACTGCCCTTGCTGGAAATAACACACAACAGAAAAGGGCCATACCAACTCTAGATTAGCCCTGCTCCAACCTTTTGAAAGAAAAATGTTGTATTACCTTTGAAATTTAGATGAAAGAACATGCCTGTATGGTGAGAACTAACCCAGGAAAGAAGCTGCTCTGACTGGTTTTCTATTTTGTCAGCTGTTCAGCTATTGAAGGGCCGTGCTGCAGTATGTCACAGAATTTTAGTCGTCAAAATAAACAAGCACAAGAAGCCTGCAATACTGGGATAAATATTTTCTTCCCTTTTACTCTTTTAAACAACTGGTGACTGCTGTTTCTTGAAATAGCAACATACAGCATAAGAGAAGAAATTACCTCAAGCTTCATATTTTTCAAGATGTCTTCCCAGCTCTCCCAACTCTTCTGTGCAGAATCACAAATTCATTATTCTAGGACCCTTTTCCACTCCCACTATGAGACCAGTCAATGACAACAGCCTCACCATGCCAATGACTGTAAAAGGTTCAGAGTCTGTCTCTGAAAGAATGACTGACTAAACAATGACAAAGACAGAAAAAAATCCTATGAAGCTGCACTCACTTTCCCCCAAAAAGCCACATCAGAAGGAAGGAAGGAAGACAGCTTGACTGGATGCACTAAGGAATTCATTTAAATTTAAATTAAAACCTGATTATTGTCATAAAGCATTTGTATTTAGGAAATCCAATGATTAACTAAAGAGAAAGTCAAAAGAAATGAAGCATGGCTTACAATAGAAGTGTGGAGGCAGCATGCTTTAGTTGACTTGAAATGCTGCTATCTCTATGTAAAATTGTTGTAGGTTTTGATTGGGTTTTTCTTGGTTGTGTTTGTTTTGTGTTTTAGTTTTCAAAAGACTTAACCTCATGAATGGTATGTGAAAAGAAATTTCAGTGCCAATTATTTTCTGTAGCTTAATAAAAAATACATTCTTAATGCAGGTATCACGTGTTTAATTTATTTTGAATATATAATGATGGAAATGCAGACAGAAAAATGGTTGTGCTTCTGCAGGCAGAAGGGAAATCAGCTAATGTCACTGCAATAGAATTTCTTCTACAGATTTCATCAACATTTCTGATCTATCTGCAGCTGCCTGAGCAGGTGGAACGTGTTTGAAATAAGAGCAGTATTAGCTTTGCAGTGCTATGTCTACAGATGTGAAATTCAGACATTGTCTCTGCTAATTTGCATGTGTCTGTATCATCACCAGTGATGCTACTAACATTTTGACTAAACCAATGAAATATTTGTCAGTGTTGTGTTAATATTATCTTTTATTAAAATAGTACTGACCATTCATTCATTTGGGAATTTTTTTTAATGTTCTGTTGTTTTTTTTAAGGAGCCTATGGACATTTATATAATATATAAAAAATAAATAATAAAGAAACAGCCTGGACATTTATATAATGAATTTCACTTCCAAGTGAGGCTGACCAATATTTTTCCCTGTCACTGCAAATGAGAAATAGGAACTCAAATCAGAACTCAGTCTCCAGAAAGATGAAATGACCAAGTACTAGAAGCCTGGAGGTGAAAAGTAATTGGAATAACAACTTCTGGGATGTATATAAAAGATACTGAAAGGGTCAAGTAGCATAGCAATTTCTAGTTGCTGTGATAACAAACAGCCATCATGATATAATTTTCACCCAGAAATTGACTTCTTTGATGGAATCACGAGCAGTTGCCATGGTTTTCTTACTTCCTACCTTTATACTAATGAACATATTATAATACACCAACATATCTATGTTTTATTGTATATTATAAATTCCCTAGCTTTTGTTGAAAGAGGCTGAGAAAAATCATGTTGCAAGAAAGAGTGGAGAGGACTGGAAACAGATCACGATCTTGTTCCAGGCAGCAAAAGTGTTTTGTGAGCCAAGGATGTCATTCACACTGAGACAGACCATGCTTACCTAAAATATTGCAGAGTTGGTGGTGATTTTGTGGATGATTGGTGCTTCTAGAGACAGCCTGGCTCAGCAATGTGCTACCTAGCAGAAATCCACTGCCCAGATTGAAGATGCTTCATGGAACCTTCATGAAACCCACCCAGCACCAAGACTCTGAGAAGGCTCCCTCACTGCAGTCCTGGGGGACTAACACTTGGGTGGATGAGGACACTGTGCCTGAGCCATTGCAGTCTGGGAAGGAGGAGACAACAGAAAGATTCACGAGGTGGAAAAGCAGCAACTCAATGCTGCTCAAACATCAGCACAGATTTCGTGGTGTCAGGCATTGCAGGATGGTTGCACTGCAGTCAGAAAAAGCACCAAGATAGAATTACAATTGAAGGTGCAAAGACAGTGGTCAAATACCATCATTTCATTGGGTGGAAGCTGTCAAACATTCCTCTCTGAAATGACACAATACTGCATCCCTATATTTTAATTTTCATGTTATATAATTACAATGCAATCCTTTGATTTCCACTGCTCCCAAAAAAGGACAATAAAAAGCAGGCAGCAAGGTAATGAACAAACTTTTCTTAAAAAAAAAAAAAAAAGTAGAGAGTCACAAGTTTAATAATATTATTTCCTCCTTGGCAATGACTCTCCTCCACCTTTTTAATAAAAAGCAGAAGTGTTACAGAATATGTATGGAAAAAATCATCAGTGCCAAATGAAAAGGGTTCCAGGTAAGTAGCACTCCCAATTTAGCTGTTGTAAAGCTCTGTAAAGCCCAGAGTTATTTGAAGCTGAGACCTCACAGACAACAAGCAGCCTTCAAGTGCCAGCATTAGCCCATCTCCTCCTGCCCTGGCTGCCCTTTCTGGGGCTATTTCTGTAAATATAACAAGATATTAGATTGCCAAGATCACCAGTCAAAATGCTTCAGGTCCTTAAATTACTAAGAGAACCATTTGGGCACAAACTTTCATCATTTAAATGTTTTGACCATGAAGTCATGGGCAGCATCACACTGGGAGTCCTATTTATAGCTCATGTGCTTCTCTGTAAGGTCTTGAATTAAAGGTAAAAGATTACTTCACTTCTTTTATACACAGTAGAAAACTTGTTGAAATAAAGTCAGTTCAGTTGAATTTTTAGAGCAAAAGGAAATCAGGCATTCAGAGTCCTGCCTTTTAACAGTGAAAGGAGCTTTTATTCTTTTTATAAATACTGTATTTTATATGAGGTTTATAAATACACTTGGCAAAGAAGTTGCATCCAAATGTTAGCAATTTCATATCTTTCATTTAAAGGATATTGACCCAGTTGATTTGTAATTAATTGCAGGCTTTTTCCCATTAGCTTATCGATTGAGGAGCCTGCAGTGCATTCCTGACTGCATTATAAATTACAGCTGTGCTTCCAGGGTACATTTGGTTGCAGTTAATTCAGATTGTCTACATTTTTCACGTTGTAAGAGTTACCTGCTCTACATCTTGCCAAACCATATCCCTTACAGTAGAGAACTACAGGTCCTTTGTTTTGGTAGATCTGCTTCTATTAGCAATAAATCCAATTTTCTGCTTATTCAGATTTAAGAATGCAACAGTGAAAACCAGAAATGCCTTCATTCTCACGCTCTCAAAAAAGGCCTCAGCCAAAGCTCGTGAAACCTTCTGGAGGTTTTCCATTGATTTCAGACAACTTTGAATCAGTCTGATTCAAACCCAACTGAGTAGGTTGTTCCAAAAGTAGTAAAAAAGCCCCACACCTTCAAATCATTATTTTTTTAAAAATCCTTTACTGGAAGCTCAATAAACCTAGCAACAATATAAAAATTAAATCCTTCAATAAAATAAAAGCAAAACATCTAGGAAGGGGGTAAATTCCAATTGTGTTCAAAAAGATGGAGGCATTAGAAAACAGCATTCGTATAAGCTTGTTTCTCAGTAAAGGCAATTTCCCTTACTAAAAACCCCAACCAAACAAAACTTGTGCTTAAACAGCACTTACCTGAATTCACAGTAGTGGAGTTCAGTAATATGCCTTGGAGTTCTCATGTAATCCACGACCTGGACCATCTTTAGTGCCTATACAAAAGAGAAACCAAACCAAAAAAACAAAACCAGTAAGAAAATAAATAAAAAGAAAGGTAATTTAATCTAGATTATGTCTAGATTGTGGTAAGAGAGAACAGTATCCCACCCTAAATTTTGTTTAAGGATCAAGCCAAGAGCAGCTCTCATTGCAAAAAGTAGAGCCATTTCTTTTTCTGTTCCAGGAGGTGCAGTTCTGCACGTTGGTTGCAGGCACAGATGTGTGTCCTGAGCAGCACCTCTGTCAGGCTCACTCTCAGCAGCCCATAATTCCATTTTAGTCATTTAGAAATAAGCTGCTTTCCCCAAAATGCATCTTCCTGGCAGTACAAACTCAACATCCTGAAAATGAAAGGAATTCTTAAGTACCTAAATTACTGACACGTTCAAGTCATTACCAAGAGGAAACATCTCTTGGAACACTGGAATTATGGTGCATTCTGGCAAACACTGTAGCACTGCATTTCCACCCAAAATGGGAAGGCTTCTGAGGCCAGTTACATTTTAGAGGTCCATCTTCTTTCTCTTGATCTTCACAGCAGGATTTCTACTAAAAACCCAACTATGGGGGAGAAACTGATGTCTTGCTTTTATAGAAAGGTTTTCCAACAAATGAGATGAAATTAAACTATAGAGGATAAACCCATTCCAGCTGAAAAAAGCTGCCTCAGAGAGGGTTTCTGTGCCAGCACAGGCTAAACCAGTTCCTAAAACAGAACACAGTTCAACACCAGAGAGTTGTTTTACATTTCTTTCAGAGTCTTTGCCAACAGAGCAGTATCAATTTAAAGGCTCAGCTGCTCTGCTTCCTGGGCATCACATGAACATGAACACTGTTCAGCCTGGGCACAACTGCATGAGCAGGGAGAGGGTCCCCCATGTGCAAATTCCTTTTGAACTGACAAAAGTGCCCTTGCACCATGAGCACAGTCAAGCCCACTCACTGCTCACTCCTGCCAAGCACACACATGCAGCATGACCCGAAAAAAATTCATCTGCTCACACAAATCTGCCTGACAGGGATCAAACTCCCCATCAAACCTGGCCTGACACCGCCCTGCCAGCAAACATCTGTAGCAGAGACATGGCCTAAAAGTCTCTGCTTTAAAGGGAAAGGCCACCAGCTGAGACTTGCTTTCTCTTTGATCTTTTTGAATGTTATATCAAAGCAATCCAAAGGGCCTCAGCTGAAGGGGTTGTTGCTGCACTGAAAAGACAAAAACAGAAACACAAGAGAAGGTGAGGGATGAAGTAAACACACACCACATAGCACCCTAAGCCTCCCAGAAATAAAGGGGGTTCTGGCAGTATTAACTTTATTGTGGGTGCCTGCCACTGGCTATCTAAAGACCAACCATGCTGCTTATGTAAGACCCAAAATGTCTGAATGCATCTGGCCAGGGATTACATGTCCATATGTGCAACCAAACCATTAATTAACTTATTTTTCTTCTGCCACTCATCAAATTTCTTTCAGAATGGGATCAGTTAAAATGTTTGCACAGATGGCAGCTCCAACAGCAAAGACTGAATACCACATACTGCAGACACACAATGTAAAACTGTCATGACACTGCATTATTTCAATCTATGCACCTAATTGTTTCAAGCCCTTGAAAAATGTTACTGTTTAAACCATAATTTATGAATGGTCTCAGAGTAATCTGTGGCTGCAGCTAGCACAAAGTCATTGATCAGGCTGGATCCATTCACCCTGTTTGGACAGAGGCTAACAAGCTGTGTGATGGGCTGCTGTGCAGGTTCTCTGCTCCCAAGTGGAAATTCCACCTGCTCACGTCTGCTCCTTTTCCAATGCTCCAGCTGACATCAGACAAAGATGTGCTGAGATGTGTTCTCACACAGCCTAAGGCTACCTGAAATAAGGATTCTGGATATCTGTGGATGTACACTCATTATCACACAGCAATTTCTGTTTACCTGTTTACCCTTGTCCCTTTCTCCAAGGCAAGCCAGCCAGACCCTGCAAGGATTGGTGACCTTGACACACATTAACTTGACAGCTCCCATGCCTGCTGTTATTCCCTGGAGGAAACAGATAGTACTGAGCAGAGCTCCTCAGGGCATGGGCTGGGTCTCGTAGTGTCCTTGGAAAGCAAAACATTACCACTGCCAAAATAGTGAAAAAAGGGTGTTTTAGAAAATCAGTGACCAGACCTACTGGGTGTTTTCCCTTCCACAACACAAAGAAGGTTGAGACAAACCCCAGCTATCTCCTGAGAGTGGTAGAAACTCATAATCCATTAAAGCAAATACTTAGAAAAACAGAAATCCCCAAAGGAGTCCTCTTGTACACATTTATTAGCAAGACTAATCTTGGCCTCTTAACTCCCTGATTATGCTTTCGAGGAATAAGGAAGAGGGTTTTAGTTTTCTTGGCAGTCCCACTGCAAACTGCCAAGATGAAGAACAAGTAAGAGAGGTCATTTCAATAGTTAAGCAAATGGCAGAAGCAGACTACTAAAAATTAAGACAGACATGATCTAAAATGAAATGTGCTGGACAGAATTAATTCCCCCCAGCAAACTAAAAAAGAAGGCTGGTCCATATCCAGCTCACAATATTTTTTCTTCTGTTACATCCCATGTTGCCTTCCATCTTTGCTCCTCAGCAGTCCAATATTGTCCCTGCCCCTGCTCTTGGCCATTCCCATTTAGCCATGCCTGCCTCTGAAGCACAGGTACACACATCGACATCACACACAAACACCTCTCAGAAAACAGAGCTGGAGGTATCTCTGCACTGCCAGTCTCTCACCTTGCTCTGATCTATATCCTCGTGTTTGCCCCCAAAACCACTTTCTTCACGTTGACTTTATGATGTGGACTCTTCATTAGAGAAACTAAACCAGGCTTATAGAGTCCTACACACCTGAGCTTTGATAAATTACTAGAGGCTAACTTGACTCATGCCTGGGAGTGAAATATCCTTAGATAGCTCATAACTGATTATTTTTGTAATGAACTTTTTTATTTACAGCATCCCTACTGAAATCCTTGATGTTACACTCCTGTGCACAAGCAGCAAATATTTTTTTTCATTCACTGTTTTGGCACAGACAAGCTGACTAGCAGTTAGCAGCATTAAGGCAGGCTTCTCAGCTGTGTAACAGGTATTAAGATGAAATCACAGTTGCACGGGTTTGGTTTACAAATATCCTTCTCTGGGTGAGGGGAAGGATGAATTAGGCTTAGTCTCAACTGACATCAATTGCAAGGGTTGCAAACACAGTATGTTAGGTCAAATATACAATTACTCACTAGAAAGTGCTTTTTGTGTGCTTGAAAAATCAGTCTAATGGACTATCTCAGTGGCAATGGCCTTATTTGTGCATGCAGAGCATGACAAAGGATGCAGGTAAACTGCCTGGTTTTGATGAAAGAGCCTCAAAAAAGGCTGGAGGTGCAGACAGTTTACAGATGGATTACAGCAACATGGCTTGTGCTGGTCAATCACAAAAGCATAAACTATATTAATTCACCTTAATGTAGTAACTGCACGATTCATCCTAAAATATTTATCAGCTGGTTTTCCCTCATCCACAAGAGCAAACATTTAAGCAGATTGCATTGGTTTAACTGAATGGATTTTCTGCAATATTTTAGTGAAATTCAGGCTTCTGGACAAGATGCTTCTGTTTGCAACTGTGACCCAAAGACAGAATAATTCAGCATTCCCTTATAAAATTAATTAATTTGCTTTCATTCTAATTTGTCATGTTATCAGAGACAGACAAATGAAACCACAGGGTGGAAAGAAAGAAAACACAAAGGAGGGGGCAAAAAGGAAGCCTCTTCTAGTGAACAAAGCACAATTTATGTTTTGGTTTTTATTAACCAAATATGATTTAGCTATTTCCAGTAGAGCTGGAACGTCAATACACAGCATTTCTATCAGCAGTGATACATGCCTCACTTCTCCAAAGGATGATTAAATGGGTGTAAAAATCCACTGGGATATTTTCAGTGTGACATTTCTGCCATGACTTTATCCAAAACACAGAGTATCAGCTCTCAGGAAACATGCCACTTCCTAACTCAGAGGCTTCAGAAAGACTCAGTGACAGCCCTGATAGAGCAGGAATTTCAGTGATAGTTTGGTCATGTACCTTGCTCCATGGGGTTTTCATTCCCTAGAACCTATCACAAGAGAACAGTGTCAAAGTTGCACAGGCTGTAAATGAAAGAGGGTTTGCAAACACAGACTGCTCTGGGGCTTCCCTTGCACCTCCCTGCACTGCTGACCAAGGGCATTTTCTGTGAGAGGAAAATGCAGTCGAGTCAGATCCCTCTCACTGCAGAGGAGGGGGGAAATAGTATTGCCAAGGCAGCTGAAGCAGGGGGATTTCAGCTTGTTATACTTGTATAATAATACTCTTAAATAATTCCCAGAGTAGTGGAAGATCAGGGAAAATTATGACAGGCAAGCCTGGCTGCTGGTCAGAAATCCAAGAGGCAGTTTAACCACATCTGACCTATCTGGCATGGTTTTTTTGTGGCAACTGGTATCAATAAGTCACCTTAATGTCAAGAGTGTGTATGTTTTTCAGGAGTGGTCAGGATCTGATTTTTTGAATCAGATGGTGCTTCCATTAATAAAACCTATAGTCCATAAAATGATTAATTAATGTGACTAATATAAACAAGCTTGAGAGCCTATGTGTCAAAGACAAACCAATCATTCCTTCCTTTGCTCTTTAATGTATTTATGGTCTTGTGCAGAGGAGGAAAACAGTCAGTAAAGGAGAAAGCTATAAATAGTAATGGGCAAGCAACTATAGCAATTTATTTTTTACCATGGTGAAATAAGAGTTGAAGCAATTAATACTGGAATTAGCCCATATTAAAAAAAAAAGAAAAAAAAAAAAAAGAAAAAAAACCCAAAACCAACAAACCAAGCAGGGAGAAATTTTAAAAAAGGGCTTCTCATTCCCTACCTCATCATGAACAAGCTGACCTTTGGGGGGAAAAGCCTGGATCTCTTGGAATAGGACCAGCCTGGATTTCTATCAAAGCACTGGCAGTGGTGTTTTTGTGGTAAAACACTGAGATTAAAAAAAACAAAGAAAAATTATATTCTGATTTCTTAATGTCAGGCCTTTGCAGAACTCCTGTAAGTACACAGAACATGATTGGTTGTGTAGAAGCAACCCATTAGTGGTGCAAGGCTCTTTCCACAATCTCTTTATACATCCCTAAAAAAAAATTAGCCAACACAAGAATTTGGAAGGCTAGAGGACAAAACACCCAGCAAAACATTCAGAGAGTTTAGTCAGGAAGAATTCAGAACATTTGAATTAGAAGCATGTTGATAGGGTGGTGTCTGCAGCTGGAAACCTTACCCAAAACTCAGCACAGGAGTGCACTGCCCAGAGGTAAAAATTCCTAATGGCATCCACCTCCAGAGCAGAATTTTTCCATAAAGAGATCTGAAAATACTCCCCCAAAAGAAGCTCATGACAGAAATCTCACCACTACTTGAGGACAATTTGTAGTTGGCAGGACAATGCCTTTACAAGAAGCTATTCAAATAGATGCTGCTGTACTGGATGTTGCTATAAAAGCAAGTGAACTTGATCACCAATTTAAAAGTGTATTCACAATTGCTATTTGATATTTACAGAGAACCTTTAACCAATTCAAAACAAATTAATCCTACACAGAACAAAGAGCTCCTATATCAGCTTCACAGAGGCATATGACATGTTCTCATCATGCACATGAACAAACAGGAAAGAACGGATTTATTGTGAACTGGGGTTTTTGCTATAAATTAAAAGG